AAATGGGTGACCCGGAAGCTTGGGACTCCTATCTCAACAGGAATGACTGCTTCGGTACCAAAGGCCAGGTGGTAGGGTGTTTCACCTATTTCAGTTAATTATAACTTTAGAATGCGCATTATGCATTATGCATATTTGCTCTAAGGATGGCAGAAGAAATGAAATACTATAGAAATTAATCAAATAAACTTGGTTTAAAAGGGGTACCTGTGGCAGTTCGGCTCGTGGTTCTGTCTGCCCACTTGGCCTTATGCTGCTCCAATCTCGGCCTTATACCTTCCAAAATGCATTTGTTAATAGATTCCACCATGCCATTGGACTCTGGATGGTAAACGGAGGTGAATTGTAACTTGATCCCATAACTAGAGCAGAAATCTCGAAATGAGGAGCAATTGAATTGAGTTCCATTATCAGCCACAATCTGATTTGGAATCCCATATCTGCAGATGATCGAACTGAAAACAAAATCTTTGACCTTCTTAGAGGTAAGACTAGATAAAGGCCGAGCTTCAACCCACTTCGTGAAATAATCTACACCAACAATCAGATGGGTTAAACCACCAACCCCTTTCACAAATGGGCCTAAAAGATCCAGTCCCCACTGAACGAATGGCCACGGCGCTACCAAGTTCGTGAGCTCTTCTGCTGGTTGATGAGTCAGGTGTGTGAAGAATTGACATTGCGGGCATTTCTGAACAAAGTAAGTGGCATCTTTGTACATGTTTGGCCAGTAGTATCCTTGTCTTAAGACTTTGTGAGCCAGAGTTCTAGCACCGACGTGGCTCCCACAGACACCTTCATGTACCTCTCGAAGTGCGTATTCAGCTTCATAAGGGTTTAAACATCGTAGAAGAGGAAGTGAGAAAGATCTCTTATACAGGACTCCATCAACAAGTGTATATCGAGATGCTGTCTTCCTTAATTTCATTGCCTCCTGCCTATCCTCAGGCACTATCCCATCTCGTAAGAAGGAGACAATTAAATTAGTCCAGCTCGGCGTGTCAGGGTTGGTGCTAATCTCCATCACCCGAGGCTTCGTGAAGCTTGGTTCATCTAAGACCTCTACAAAAACGGATCTGGAGCTTAAAGAGCTATCAGAGGCAAACTTGGAGAGTGAATCTGCCTGTTCATTCTCAGCTCGGGGGATTTTACTCAGACAGAATTTCTGAAATTTGCACTTCAGCTTGGCCACCAAGGCTACATACTTTACCATCACAGGATCGACGACTTCGCAAACAGAGTTGATTTGGTTCACCACCAGCTGAGAGTCACTATATACTTGAATTGCATTGATTTTCAATTCTAGTGCGAGTTGTAGACCAAGTAGTAGAGCTTCATATTCAGCCATGTTATTTGTTGCATCGAAATTGAACTTCAGGGCATGTTCACTTCGGTATCCCTCTGGACCAATCAAGAGAGCGCCAGCCCCTGAACCCT